ATTCTAAGGCAGAAGTCAAATAGTGTACATCAATTTAGACAGGCTCATCTAGCAAAGACTTCAGCGATTGTCTGGGATGAATATATGCTTTAGAATGATTATTAAGTAATAGAAAGGGATCCAAAAATGCAGGCATAATTTAATGGGTGTTTGGACTCAGTTTCTCAAAATGACTAAAGTTATGTGTTAAACAAGAATCAGTGGGTCCCAAGAATCGATTCATAGCTTTAGTAGAGAAATGCATTAAAAAAAAAAAAAAAGCAAGTCTAGATACGTAATGAAGATGCCTATTTTTCAGTGAGATGTGAATATTTCAATGTTGGCATTAGCTAGATGTCATCAGTCTTGGTTTTAGCAGGGTTTAGTTACATACTTAAAATGTATCACAATTTCACAGTCACTCATCTTCATGTAGCTGTCAATAAGAACTGCTGGTGACGATTTGAAGTATCACTTCTCTTCTCTACAGGACCACTTACACATTGAAACTTCAAATAAACCCAGTGTTCCTAGAACACAACGTAAATGTGTATAGTGAATATAATGGAAGCTAGATTAAATTAACTACTGTTGTATTACTTGAAGTTGATGCTAAAAGTGAATGTCATATAAATATTAAAATAAATCATTTTAACTAATTTAAGCTCAGATTTATAATACATTGAGTATCTATTGATAGTAATGTATCATATAAACCGTCAAATTTATATAACTGTAGTAGAAATTAATCTACAGAAATCATTTTCAACTCATGAGTTCTTGAATCATTCTTCCACATATTAACCTTATCTATTAAATATATTCCTTTTAAAAATTTCTCTGTAACTATGTATATAATTTGATATTTTCAAATAATAAAAAGTAGAGTATCTGAAAAAATATCAACTCTCCACTCCTCTCAAGAATTCCAGTCTTCTTGCAAGAAGTAACCACCATGACTGGATTTGTGTAGTTCTCATTTTCTTTCTCCCTCACTCACTCACTATCTTCACTCTCTGCCTCACTTTCCTTTCTCTCCCTCATCTTTGTCTTCTCTTCCTCTCTCCCCCTTTCCCTTTCTTCTTCCTTCTCCTCATCCAGTGTATATATCTAATATTATATGTTCTATTAATGCATTACAGTACAGTACTGGCATATACCCAGTTATTTAATGTAGATGAAATTCTAAGTTGTAGATAGATACGTGCTTTTTCCATTTAGTCATTTAAATTACTCTTGGTGATTTTCAAATGTAAATATCTGTTACAGTGATTATCTTTTACTATATTGCTTTGTATATTTTACATCTCTGGGCACTTTTCAGGAAAAGCAATTGCCCAAAAGAATCAAAACTTTTAAACTTTAGGAGACATTTCCAATTTTTCCTCCAAAGTGTATATATTAATAAACAAATCTATCAAAAGTTCTGAGGGTGTACTCACAAAGAATTGTAAGGGGCAAGGAAGAAAATTGTCTATTTTATACGCATACTTCAGTTATCTCTCTGATGCTTATTTTAAGGGCAGCAAACAACTATGTCTCAGTACTGTTAGTTAACATTTTGGATTTCAGAGACAGCATTTTATTGTATGGTTGCTCTTCGTAATGCCAAATGTAGCTCTTCAAAGACATGTGCCTTACATTCATTAATTTTACTCACTACTTATTGAAAAAAATCATGAAGGACAGCTCATTTATCTCTTTTGAGGGTGAAATATTAATTTTTCTAGTGGTTTACAGTACACAGAACTTGATTTGGAAAACATAAGAAATGAATGCCTTATATATTAGAATTTAAAAGTGTATGATTGGCCAAATTCGGGTTGTAGAAATCTTACTCTTACTATGAAAAAAGTAACTTATCAGATTCAGTTTTGGAGAAGTTTGAAATCTAGCACTTAGAATACCATAATCATAACTTGCCCTTTAAGCAAATAAAAAACAATGGAAAATCTGTTGTATTTAGATTTCAGTGAGATCGACTCATAAAAGTTTCACAATTATTATCAAAGAATTTCTGTTTATGATTTCCATTAGATTACCTAATGTTGGACTACAATTTTCCACTAAGGGTTTTAATATTCTAAAGGTACAACACAGTGATATACAAACATTAAATAAGGAAATATTTTGATGAAATGCACTAAATTTAAGAATTACTCCATGTCTTTCAAAAGGTCTTAATTATGGAAAGATCTATTTGGTAATTCTCTAGTGTCCAAACATATTAATGAATCATTTATATTTATGTAAAAATTGTGCAAGCATGTGTACAGATATGTTGCTTAATACAGGCCAAAACAGACATGTTTGTTCATGCGTGTGAATATCTTGGCTCAAATATGAACATTATTGTGTGATTCATTTATGTCTTCTTCAGGCATTAATCAATATTCTAACCAGATAGAAGTCTTCAGATTAAAAATTGAGGGTTTTCCTTATTTCTGTGATAGTTCCCTTCCTGTATTCTGTTCTAGTGTCTTTATGTCAGTATAATCTCAAAAAATTCACTTTCCTGAAGAGCAGCTTATAGAGACACCTAGTGGTAAATAATGAACCATCCTTAATGCTAAAGTAATGGTAGAAAGTTTTCATCATTTATTTATCTGAACCACAAGAGGCAATCTAGAACGTTAGCACAGTATGTCTTTTTAACAAATCTACAAGCTCAATTAATCTCAAACATGTTCCATACTTTTAAAAATTAAGCCAGTAACTGTTAAAATAGAAATAAAATAAAATTTTAGAATAAAAAATAGACTAAAATTTGATATTAAAAGGAATAGTAACAAAAAAGGAATAGTGAAGATATTGAATACTAATAATTTAATGAAATAAAATAGCTATTTTGAGTAGTTTAATAATTTATTCAGATCTTTATAACTTCTAACTTCGTTAAAGTTAACAAATACTATAAGCTGTATTTCTGATGGCACTCACCATGGATATGCTGAAGGTCTGTAGCTAAGATTAATATGTAATTTTAAGCTATATATTAAACTTTAATATTGACAGTATAAAAACAATTTATTCTTAAAAATAATTTTTCTAAATATTTGTATCATATTAAAAGATAAAAACAGAAGTACACTTGCTTTGAACATAAACTTTAAGCACTGTCTGTATGATGTCCCTGGAGCCTGAAACTATCATTCTTAGGCACATGTTTCTAAATTTAACAGAAATTTCTACTATAAGATTTTATTTATATTACCTTACATAACTGATTACTTCTTTCTCTCTATTCTACAAAACTAAAATTTACCCAGATCAAAGTTCTCCCCCCCACAAAAAGTGTTTATGACTCAATTTAAAAATATAATGGCAACAAATTCAGAGGAAAATTTTTAAAATGTTACAAAACCTCAGGGGGCTTCAATATTCATATCCTCTAGAAATCTCTTTTAATTTAACATATAAAGATGATGTGGAAAGATTTTATATATACATATATATATATATATATATATATACACATTCATATATATGCACAAAAATATGTTTGAATAGCTATTAATATTCATGGCTAATCATTTACAATCACAATATTATCCAAAATATTACTAAGAATCAAACAGTATCAGCTGTTGTTAAGGCATAATTGATTCCAAAGTAAGACAGACAAAAATCTCCTACTTGTCAAAGGAATAGGCACAAGTACATTCTGCCTGCATCAGTCACTTATTATAATCAACTTTTCCTCGATACTTGGGAAGGGATACAGGCCTAACATTCCAAACACAGAAAAACACGTAAGAATGTAAAGATCTCCTTTTGGGGAGGGTTGTGTCTGGTTTCAGGGAAAAAGCGAGAATACTTACTGTAGAGATGACGCTAGCTAGCGAAGTTTAGCAGGTGACTCTTGTATCCCATACAGCCTCTAATTTAGGACTTTTCCAGCGTTTAGCGCCTATCAAATGCACTCACAAATATTTTTTTCTGAAAGTCGTTCCGTTGAACTGCCCACACATACAAACGTAATTCTGAAAAATAAAAGTAGTTCCCTCTTTACAGCTAGGATGAACCACTCCCTCTTCCAGGGTCCTACAGGGTGGGAAGAGAGGGAGGCAGCAGCAAGGACTGTATCATGCTAGCAGGAAGAGGAGAGCAGGCGAGCAGCACCGGGCTGGAATCAAGCGTCCCTGACCACCGCCAAGCCTGGCGTTGTCGGGGTTATTCCCATCCCTCCCTTTTCCAACACGAGAGCTGCACACTCCCACGCTCTCCTTAGGCACATGGTCCGAGACTCCTCTGTCTCCCACGACTGTGACATCCAAGGGGGGCACAGCAGCGCCTCCGGAGCCCAGGGCTTCCGCTCTCGGTTGCCACCTATCGGCCGCCGAGCGCGCGCTGCGCCCCGGGCCATCATGTCTGCGGCAGCGTGGCTCGCACCCGCGGCGCGACCGTAAACAAGTGCGCCGGCCACGGAGCGGAGGTCCCAGTGAGCCGGACCATGCTTCTCGTGTTGCCATCTCCTCGGCGCCCAGGAGAGAAGACGTGACTTTCCTTGAGTTTTCTGAGAGCCTCCGGGCGGCCAGGACGCGCCACAGGCGCGGAGCAACGCCGTGCGGGCCCCTCGGACTCCCAAGGATGCCGGGGAGGAAGAGTTCCAAATAATGACGACCGCGCGCCGCGCCGGGGGAAGGGGGCGAGGAAGAATCCCCGCACGCGCGGGGAGCCAGGAAACGGCCCGGAGGAGGCGGGAGCCGCGCAGATACTGATCGGGGGCCGCGGCGGCGGCGGGTCGGCTGGGCTCGGCTCCGGGGCCGCGGCGAAGGGATCCCAGCGCGGTGGTCGCCGCGCCGGGAGCGGAGGACCGCGCAGGAGCCGCAGCGTCCGCCGCTGCCGCTGCCGCCGCCGCCGGAGGAGCCCGGGGGCCCGGGCCACCTTCTCTCGCCCCCTCACTACCATGTACAGTGTGCGCTGCAAGAAGAAGCCGGCGATGCGTGCCCAGCCTCGCGCCCCGTTCCCTCCCGCTGGTCCCCGGGCGTCCGCCTCCGAGCGGGGGGCAATGTGGTGAAGACGGCGCGGAGCAGAGGCGCGGGGGAGGGTAGGGCAGGCCGGCCGGCGCGAACCCAGGCCGGAGGGTGCGAGGAGCCCGAGCAGGCTGGAGGGGGCGGCGGCCGCCGCTGGGTCGGAGAAAGTTGCCCCCTCTGCAGATGGGAACTGTAAGTACCCGCCCGGGGGTGCGGCAGGGGGGCTCCCTGGACCCCGCGATCGCGTCGCCGTGCCGGGGGCTGGCCATGAGTGTGCGAAGCGGCGTAGTGTGAGCCAGCGGCGCGGGCGCTCGGTGGGGCTGACCGTCACGTTGGCGAGGCCCCGGGGCCGGGCAGCCTCTGTGCGCCCCCTCCTCCCGCCCGCGCCTCTGCGCGCCCCGCCCGGCTCGGCTCCGGCTCCGGCCCCTACAGCGAGGCGCCGCTCCCGCCGCCGCTCCCCTCCCCCTCGCTCCCATCCCAGGGCTCGCGGTCTCCCCCGGGCCCCCCACCCGCAACCCGCACTGAGGACCGAGGAGCGCGCTGGGGAGAGCCGCGCGGGGAGCCCCGGAACCCGCGGTCGATCCCGCGGCGGCGGCCCGGGGCTGCGGGCGTCCGGGCGCCCTGGCTCCGGCGGCGGTTCAGCCCGCAGTGCCCGCTGCCTTCGGTCTCCGCCTGGGCTTCACAAACCCAGTGCACACACCGAAGAGGTGTTTTTTTTTCCTTTTTTTTTTTTTTTTTTTTTTTTTTTTTTTTTTTTTTAAGGGTGGCTAGGATGAGTGAGCCCTAGAGATGTGAGACGGGGTAAGTCCGTGGTTTACTTTAGCAGAAGAGGCTCCCGCGTGTGTGTGTGCGCGCGCGCGCGTGTGCGTGGGGTGTGTGTGTGTGTGTGTGTGTGTGTGTGTGTGTGTGCGTGCCACTGTATGTAGCTGGTTGGCTCTCTTTCCTTCTCCCTCCCCTTTACCCTTCCTTCGCTTTGGGGCGGGCTGGGGGAGGGGAGCCTTGCGTCCTGGAACTCTGGGTTCTCCGCCTGGGCGGCCGTTCCAGCAGCTGCGCCTGGAGCCCCAGGCCGGCTTGGGTGGTGAGCTGCAGCGAGAGCGACTCGGTGCTGCCTAAGGGAGGGATGTGCCAGGCGGTGATCTAGGGTCTCAGCTGTGTTTTCTTTTCTTATATTTTTTGGCGTGGGGGGGGGCTACAATCCTCCCACCCCCGCTTTCCAAAATATTGAATCTGAGGATGTGTCGCGCACCCGCGGATTTACATCGATGGTGCGTTTTCCAGTCAGAATGTCAGCCTTCCCCGGGCTCATTCAACTTTATTTTCTCAAATTTTCGGGCTCCTTTGATGACGAGGAGGAGGGGAGAGAGAATGAGGCGAGAGTAAGCTCTTCGACCCTTGCTAACCAGAAGTGAATTAAAGTTGTAAACGCTCGAGTTTAATCCTGGCTGGTCACAATTTGCAGTGGGGCTCTCAGATGGAGAAGGAGCTGGGTGGGGGCGGGGAAGCACCAGGAGGGAGGGGGAGGGGACCCAGCCCAGCTGAATGGATGTGCACATTTGATCCGGCGGAGAACCGAAATTTCAAGGTAAACGTTTTGCTTTCCTAGGGTGTGTTTGAAGCTGGGAGACCTTTGACGTGGTGATGGGAGGTCGGGAGATACTAGCAAGGTTTATCCACTGTGGTTCCGATTCGTCTCGACACGTCCGGGTGGCCAAACGTGAATGATTCCCAGGCACACTTGTACATGTGCCTGTGAATACAGGCGCTTTTAGTAACGCGGGCTGGAGTCGACTCGGATCAAGAGCGAGGTCTCAGGCATTAGAACCTGTGCCTAAGAAATGTCCTGGCTTTAGTTATGGGTTGCGATTCGACCTCTGACTTTGGTGAGGAGGCAAAAGCTAGGTTGACCAAAGAAAAAGCATTGGTTCCCAGAGCTCAGCATTTAGCAGCACCCCCCTCGCCGCCCCGCTAACCAAGGCAACACGCACGCAGACACTCACTCCTTTTATGCCCTTCCTTTAAGAGTGCTGTTGTGGACCAGAAGTAGGAAGTCCAAGGAAGCCTTTAAGGCGACAAAAAGAAAGAAAGAGAAGGGGGTGGGCGAGTGATTCACAGGGGGGATGAAATTGGGATTAAAAGCACCGACCTATGTCACTTGCTGTTCTTCCTTGCATTTTTCTATTTCGTCTCAATGAGCCCAAGAGCCCTTTTCCTAAGAGAAAGGGGTGGGAGCATTGACAATTCAATGTAATAAGGAACTCCAAAGATGGAGATGTTGGCGAGGTGGTAGATCATTCCAAATCTTGCTAATTCAGTAGGGTTAGTTTTGCATACTGTGACACACAGACGTGGAGCCCAAGGTAAAGGAGGCTTTGCAGCTGGTCCTTGGTTACTTTTAGTTGATTCTGGGTAAGCGGCAGGAATGTCCTCTTTAAACTCGAGGTATTCAGAGGTGTTTCGAGATTGCGGATGCCTGTGCTGAATTCTTTGTAATCCATCGTGCAAAACTATTTCAGTGCCTTAGAGATGCGGCTTGGTACCGTGGCTGACATGATCAATGAGGAGAAGTGGTCGCAGGGTGCTCTCAGGGAAGCGCTTCTAAGTGGCACCGTGCATGCAATTAGGGCGCTGATGTGCTTAATAGCGTGATAGTGAAGTCTACCATCAAAGCCAACTGGCTCTCCTTGTTCTCCTTACTCAGAGCTCTGGAAGACAACTGGTGATTTAAGAGCTTGTCCTGACTCTTTTAAATGTTTTAATGTCTTGGTTTTTGCTGTTGTTGTTTTTTCTTCTGGAAAGTATTCTTTTAGGTTTCCACCCTGATATTTCTTGCAATGATCTAAAATAGCCCAAGTATTGTGGCTGCTTGCTTTCTGTGAAAATGGGAACCCTGCATAAGGAACTGTTAGCTGAAGTGACTCTGAAAGAAAGTGGGGGGTACAGATGAGGGGAACCTTGGAAAATGATGCTCCTTTTCACTTAAATTAGAAGCATAAAACTGAACTGACAGCCATTTTATGTATATTTATGGATTGCTTTTGTAAAAGGGGGAGCAGAGTAGAACACTAGAAAGGATTTTATCTGCCCTAGTCTTGTGAAGAACAGCACATTCCTGACATGCTCATTAGAACATGAAATGAGCCTTTAAAGCAAAATGAATATCAAATTTTAATAAAGTCTGGAGACTGCCTCATGTTCCATGGGGTGATGATGAGAGTTGTTCATAGCATACCTCCTAGATCTCAGGGAAGAAAAACACTTACTGATTAATCCCTTAAATTTTTGTCATATTCTGTTGTTTCCTTGTTTCCTCTCTCCCTTGCAGGAGGTAAAATGCACACTTGCTGCCCCCCAGTAACTTTGGAACAGGACCTTCACAGAAAAATGCATAGCTGGATGCTGCAGACTCTAGCGTTTGCTGTCACATCTCTTCTCCTTTCATGTGCAGAAACCATCGATTATTATGGGGAAATCTGTGACAATGCATGTCCTTGTGAGGAAAAGGACGGCATTTTAACTGTGAGCTGTGAAAACCGGGGAATTATTAGTCTCTCTGAAATTAGCCCACCCCGTTTCCCAATCTATCACCTCTTGTTGTCTGGAAATCTTTTGAACCGGCTCTATCCTAATGAATTTGTCAATTACACTGGGGCTTCAATTCTGCATCTGGGTAGCAATGTTATCCAAGACATTGAGACTGGGGCTTTCCATGGGCTTCGAGGTCTGAGGAGATTGCATCTGAACAACAATAAACTGGAACTTCTGAGAGATGATACCTTCCTTGGTTTGGAGAACTTGGAATACCTACAGGTAGATTACAATTACATCAGTGTCATTGAACCCAATGCTTTTGGGAAACTGCATTTGTTGCAGGTGCTTATCCTCAATGACAATCTCTTATCAAGTTTACCCAACAATCTTTTCCGTTTTGTGCCCTTAACGCACTTGGACCTGCGGGGGAACCGGCTGAAACTTCTGCCCTATGTGGGGCTGTTGCAGCACATGGATAAAGTTGTGGAGTTACAGCTAGAGGAAAACCCCTGGAATTGTTCCTGTGAGCTGATCTCTCTCAAGGATTGGTTGGACAGCATCTCCTACTCGGCTCTGGTGGGGGATGTGGTTTGTGAGACCCCCTTCCGCTTACATGGCAGGGACTTGGACGAGATATCCAAGCAGGAACTTTGCCCAAGGAAACTTATTTCAGACTACGAGATGAGGCCACAGACGCCTTTGAGCACCACGGGGTATTTACACACTACCCCAGCCTCAGTGAATTCTGTGGCCACTTCTTCCTCTGCTGTTTACAAACCCCCTTTGAAACCCCCTAAGGGGACACGCCAACCCAACAAGCCCAGAGTGCGCCCAACCTCTAGGCAGTCCTCTAAGGATTTGGGCTACAGTAACTATGGCCCCAGCATCGCCTACCAGACCAAATCCCCGGTGCCTTTGGAGTGTCCCACAGCGTGCACTTGCAACCTGCAAATCTCTGATCTGGGCCTCAACGTCAACTGCCAGGAGCGCAAGATTGAGAGCATTGCTGAGCTGCAGCCCAAGCCCTACAATCCCAAGAAAATGTATCTGACTGAGAACTATATTGCTGTGGTGCGCAGGACAGACTTTCTGGAAGCCACTGGGCTGGACCTTCTGCACCTGGGTAACAACCGCATCTCCATGATCCAGGACCGAGCCTTCGGGGACCTCAGCAATCTGAGACGCCTCTACCTGAATGGCAACAGGATTGAGAGGCTGAGCCCAGAGTTATTCTATGGCCTTCAGAGCCTGCAGTATCTCTTCCTCCAGTACAATCTCATCCGGGAGATCCAGGCTGGGACTTTCGATCCTGTCCCGAACCTCCAGCTGCTGTTCCTGAATAACAACCTTTTGCAGGCCATGCCCTCTGGCGTCTTCTCTGGCTTGACCCTCCTCAGGCTGAACCTCCGGAGTAACCACTTCGCCTCCTTGCCAGTGAGTGGAGTTTTAGACCAGCTGACGTCACTCATCCAGATCGACTTACATGACAACCCTTGGGATTGTACCTGCGAGGTGGTGGGCATGAAGCTGTGGGTGGAGCAGCTCAAAGTGGGCGTCCTTGTAGACGAAGTGATCTGTAAAGCACCCAAGAAATTCGCTGAGACTGATATGCGAGCCATTAAATCTGAGTCGCTGTGCCCAGACTATTCGGATATCGTGGTTTCCACGCCCACACCCTCCTCCATCCAAGTCCCCGCCAGGACCGGCGCGGTGACCCCTGCCGGCAGGCTGAACAGCACCGGGCCCCCCGCAGGCTTGGGCGCGGGTGGAGGGGCGTCCTCCGTGCCGCTGTCAGTGCTGATCCTCAGCCTGCTGCTGGTCTTCATCATGTCCGTCTTCGTGGCGGCGGGGCTCTTTGTGCTGGTGATGAAGCGCAGGAAGAAGAACCAGAGCGACCACACCAGCACCAACAACTCGGACGTGAGCTCCTTCAACATGCAGTACAGCGTGTACGGCGGCAGCGGCGGGGGCGCGGGGAGCCACCCCCACGCGCACGGGCACCACCGCGGGCCCGCGCTGCCCAAGGTGAAGACGCCCGCGGGCCACGTGTACGAGTACATCCCGCACCCGCTGGGCCACATGTGCAAAAACCCCATCTACCGTTCCCGAGAAGGCAACTCCGTGGAGGATTACAAAGACCTGCACGAGCTCAAGGTCACCTACAGCAGCAACAACCACCTGCAGCAGCCAGCGCCGCCGCCGCAGCCCCAACAGCAGCCCCCGCCGCAGCTGCAGCTGCAGCCGGGGGAGGAGGAGAGGCGGGAAAGCCACCACCTGCGGAGCCCCGCCTACAGCGTCAGCACCATCGAGCCCCGGGAGGACCTGCTGTCGCCGGTGCAGGACGCCGACCGCTTTTACAGGGGCATTTTAGAACCAGACAAGCACTGCTCCTCCACCCCCGCCGGCAGCAGCCTCCCAGAATATCCCAAATTCCCCTGCAGCCCCGCTGCCTACACTTTCTCCCCCAACTATGACCTGAGACGCCCCCATCAGTATTTGCACCCGGGGGCCGGGGACAGCAGGCTGCGGGAACCGGTGCTCTACAGCCCCCCGAGTGCTGTCTTTGTAGAACCCAACCGGAACGAGTATCTGGAGTTAAAAGCAAAACTAAACGTTGAGCCGGACTACCTCGAAGTGCTGGAAAAACAGACCACATTTAGTCAGTTCTGAAAGCAGAGAAACTCCCTTGGAGCTCTTGCGTTTAAGACAAGTGAGCAGACACACACGGTGAACACATTTGATTCATTTGTGTCGTTTCAACGTTTAGGGTGAAGTGCCTTGGCACGGGGATTCTCAGCTTCGGCGGAAGATACTGAAAGAGTGTGCAATTTCCTTTTAATTTTACACGGGGGAAACATTTGTGTAAACTGGGCACATCACTTTCTCTTCTTGTGTGTGGGGGAGGAGAGGAGAAGGGCTTAATAGAAGGCGATTTGCTGCGAGGGTGACTTGTTATAGGTCGCAGTCATTTTGTAGTGCTCGGAAGTGCTAAGAGTGGTGGAAGATGTTAGCATAGATTCTACTGTTCCTCTCCCCCTCCCCACCTCCCTTTCTCCCTCTCTAAGCCATGGGTGGGTCTAAATGGCTTTGGTGGAGAGATAGCACATCCCAATTGAAATAGGAAGTCTGATCTCTCTTCCCCCCTTCCCTCCTCTCCCACCTTCCTTCTTATTCCTTTCCTTTGTTTTTAAAGGATGCGTTTGTATGCATTCTGGACGTTTGAACTAAAAAAAACAAATGTATTGTGATCCAGAAAAGGATCACTAGAGATGTGGACAAATCATTAAAATGACAGAGTTATATGATCCATAATTGATTAGTCAAAATAACTTATTGATGAAATATACAAATATTTTATTGTAGCACCTATTTTTATATGCACATTTAGCATTTCCTCTTTCCTTCACTATTTAGCCTATGATTTTCACAGAGGTGTCACGTTGTATTAGGAGCTGCGTTTCCAAAACTGAAGTGATTGTCAGGAAAGCATTTTAGATCATTAAAAACGTGGAGCACTTAATGGCAAAACCTTTAAAAGCCAATGCAACCCACCCAATTGAACCTGTATTTTTTTATACTGATTGTATCCCACTGTATAAAAGAAAAAGTTAGGGCAACTAATTGGACCATTCAAGAGAATTGTGTGCAAGATTTTGGTTTTACTAGAGAAGATTTCAAAGTATTTTTATTAGTGAACCAAACTGTGTATTGATTTGACTACTATTGTAGCCAATTTTCAATTGTTTAACCAAACCCACTTGCATTTGTACAGATCCACATGTACTGGCACCTTCGAAGACCAAAAGATGGACTGTACAAGTCTCTATACAATGTCTTTATGCCTCTAGGCAACAAGCAATGATGATAATAACAAACAGGATCTCTGTATGATGGGGCTACTGTTGTTACAGTCTCATATGTATCCCAGCACATGTAATTTTTTAAATAGTTTCTGAATAAACACTTGATAACTATGTCAACTATGAAGGATTGAAGTAATGATTGCTCAAGATACACAAATCTTAGCTACCTATGGTTGGTGGAACCTCTGATAATTAACAACTTAAGATACACTTGATAAAATTTATTCCTAATAGAAAAAGGTTTTCTGCTAATTATAACTATATACATATATATATATATATATATATATATATATATATATGTTTTTTTGGTTCAGGGAAGTATGTTTTTTCTGCTGCCACTTAATATGTTTATTAACAGTATTTCAATTGATCATGTTGTTTTTTTACTGACATACACATCTAATACAAGGAACATGGTAAGTAATATATTCCATACTCACTTTCTGTTAGTGTTATATGTATTATCATGTTAGTATTATTCAGTTTAATTTTTTAAAATAATTAGCGTATTTATCTGTATAAACCCAACATCAATATTATGGTGGATGGTCTACCTAAAGTTGATCAGTGTTCTAAATATTAAAACATTGGTTGGTAAAGTTGCTCATCAGAAAAGTGAGGTTAGTTTTTAAGGATAAGAAATGTTTAATCTGAAAGGTAAAGAGGTATGAGCTTCATTCCTTTATGCCCACATGTAGTCTTACCTGGGGATTGAACAATATCAAGGACTGTTCAGGCACTTTGTTTAAGAAACAATTGTCGTGGCATTCTGCCACAAAGAGGCAGCATTCACCCATGAGTAAATTGACAGGAGCTACTTGATGCAGATTGAACTGGTGGTAACAGTTCCTCTAAATAATTTTTTTTAAATGTCACGGTATGTAGAGCAGGTGCAGGAAACTAATCCATGTTCTTCACAGCAGTTTCCCTACCCTTTTTTTTCTAAAGGGGAAAGGAGTAAGGTTAATAAGTCTCATGATATCATCATGAGAATAAAAACGTATCTCTTGTTCTTTGTCTACCTCCTCCATATTACATGCAGGATTAGAAAAGAAAAAATGTAAATACTAGAATTTGGCTTTGCTTTTTGAGTTGTTATTAATTTTTCTTTACAATGGTAGTTACGATTTTCTTCGTAAAATTTCTCTCTCTTCTTTAACATTATTATATTATTACATAAAGATGTAACAGTATTTCATGAACTAAACACATTACATTGCATTCCAATGTTGAATCCTCCATTTAGCTAAACTTTATTTCTTAATGCATAAAAAGGTAAGAATTACACAAAATTAAAGACATGCTTCTAGATGATATATGTATTGTCCAAAGGAAGTTTGTCAATGAATTTTTCAAAGATTTACAAAATGTTCCATGTTTTTGAATGAGTGCTATTTTGATGTAATCCTGTCAGGTGGTCTCTTTAGATGTTGTATTTCTACCTTTATTTTTCCTTTCTGTCCAAAGGAAAATAACATTTATATAACTTATTAACAAAGATTACTTTTACTTTTTAAATTTACCTACTATATTAAGAAGGTAAATGTAAGCTCATCCTGACTTTAATAAAATTGAAAAACTTGTGCCATGTCAGAAGCATGAAACTATATAGAATGAAAACATAAATTGTTTTTCTCCTCATAAATGGTTTCCTTCCAATACACTTCCATATACAGTAGAATCCTGTTGTGTGCTTATGTGTATCTGGTTTTTTAGTATTTATATTTTTCATTGAGTAAATAACCAGACTGAGTATATCAGCCATATATGATTGGATTAAGGAAATCTGCAATTTCTTGCCATGGAATTTTGGGGTACAGCATACACCATGTTTTGGGCTCAATTAAAATTTAGATGCAAGCAAACGTTAATCTTTGTGCTATTTCATGTGGTGCATAATCTCATTTAAAAGTATTTTCAGGTATTACTATTTTTATTTCAATACAATTATAGTGAAAATGTTTAAATTATCTTGGAAATATTAAATATACTTTGTACTTTAAATGTTTACAATTTGTATGCTTACCCACAAATCATTTAAACTACATTATTGATTCCAATTATGAGTTATATATTATTCTTGAACACAATTTTTGTTTAGACAAACCATCACATTCACAAATGAAATGCAAATTTTGGCAATGGTCATGTACGCGTGAAAATTTGTTTGTACTGCTCCTCCTTCTCCCAGTAGAAAAATTCAATTATAGTGGGAAAGCATGTAAACATAATGTGAAAAAGGATGATAAATCTATGTCATTAGTTTCTTATTTTACATGTTAGTGCTATTCTTGCTGCTAGGTTTCATTTTTGGTAAATTACTCAACTTAACACAGTTTTACTGTGCTATTGTCTTCGCCTCCTTGTTCCTTCTCTCTTATTTCATCACTCTTTTTCTGGTACAAGGGAAACAGTGAGAATAGTCCAGGCCTTGTTTGAAATGCCAAAAACTGGCTCTTTAACTTCCAGAGCTAAGTGTACTGTTTCCAAAGTCACAGGACTGAAAACTCACAAAGCACACCACAAATATGTTTTCAGTTCAGCTGAAAATATGCTCTTACTGTACTTTTCAGATGGCTCCAAATTAAAATATTTTCAGGCCATGCAAAGTTTTTGTTCCAATTATTTTAAGAATATATTTTACTATAAGAGAAACTAGCAACCACAAAAGAACTAGTTTAAACACTGAAATCCAAGGTATCTATCTAATTCCATTTTAAAGGGAAGACATCTTTTACAAGTGGTAAATACATTGTTATCCAGTTAACTCAAACTTGTGGATGGCTATCCTCAAGTTCTACATCATTTTACAAAAACAAATATTTGACAATTTAAGTAATCAGGTGCCTAAAAAATTTAAAATGTATGTCTAGCTAAACCTTACATTCATTAACGTCAGATTTGGTAGCTATACATTTTCATCATTAATTGATAATCAGTGTTCTATCTTTCTGCAGCTATAGTACCCTTGCATATTTCCATCAGTATAGGTAACATCTGTGTCATAGGAAAAAAAAGGGGGTTATGATACAGTGAATACACAGTTTTTATCCAGGTTTGGCTATATTTTAATATTGAAAGAACTTCAGATTATAATACTGTGCTTCTTGTTTTAAGAATATTAGATTTGAAAAAGAAAAGAATTTAATACAGTGTGTTTAAGACAATAATGTGATACTTTTCCTGTTTTTAGCAGACATTGGACTTAAGACACAGGTCAAATACTTCTCATGGTAATTATTTCAGAATTATAAAGCCAGTCATTCTGGTACAGATTTAAAAGAATAATGATTGGATCTATTTAAGCTTGAGCATTTTAAGTTATTTTTTGCAAACAATTTTGAGGAATGAAATAAAAATATTACATATAGAACTGATGTAATGCAAACCAGACAAGGTGGCCCAGGACTGCAAACCAGACATGGTGGCCCAGGACTGTATTTCCAGTTGTTGGAAGGCTGAGATAGGAAGATCAGTCTTAAATTCAAGGCCAACCTAGACCATATAGTGAGCTCAAGGTCAGCCCAAACTTCCTATTGAGAACCTGCTCAAAATACAAATATATATATATATATAGCACATATGAAATAATTGCACTTTTAAATCTACTTACTCATGAAAATACAATATATTCCATAATACAAGGCAGATTTTCTTTAGATATCAGCAAAGTCATTTTGTAGAAGTGATATTTATAGCAGTATGTTAAATAGAAAACTCCCAATGATTTTTTAAAAATTACTTATCACAGTGAACATGAAGGAATATTATTTATTTCTATAAAATAAATATGTACTTGTTAAGAACTTACATGTGCATTTAAAAGTGAAAGCTGTCAATTAGTGTTTTATGGGTGAGATTTTTGTGTTTCAGTTTCAACAAATCTGGGCAGGATTATTACTTGTTCTTGAAGGTTTACTTTGCACACATTTATTTCCATATAAATCTTTTAAAGAAATATTTCCAACATATCACTGCATAAATTGGATTCGAATTTAACTGTACTGTTTTAGTGTTGGATTATACTTATGTTTGGATATATTCAAGGAGCAAAATTCTGTTACTTTTCAGTGTTCTGGAATAGGAATAACTTAAAAGTTTTACATGCAAATCATTTAGCTCATCAGTGATGATATTTAGTTTCCCAACTACTTACTTTTTTAAGACTGTTCTGATATAGTTCACTAAAAACAAAACTTAATATTCAACTAGAATTACTCTGTATATTCTGTTTGGTACTTGTATATGTATGTCAAACAAAAAGGAGAAAGAAATACTAATTGCATTTTAATTAACTAGCAAATTCCTTTGTTATATACTTTCATTAGTATGATTTATACAGGAGATTTATCAGACATGCTGACTAAAATTTTAAATATAAAATATAAATTAATAACTAAAAATGAGCATCTGACAATGAATATATCTTTCATGTAATAAGTTCACATAAATTATTCAAACAAAATTACACATTTTTACATAAAATTTTCTCTGTCTATATCTAAAAAACAAAATTAAAAGATGTTTCACTTGTGAAAGCACTAATGAAAAACTTGTAGCTATCATATTTGTCGTTAGTTTTTTATTTCTTTTAAATTTCCATTCCTAAATATGCTTCAATTTTACGCTGTTATTTTTCTTGCATATCTTTGAACTTTGTCTTTGCTCAAATCCCTTTAAAATTATGCAGATAATATTTTTCTTTATATTTTACCTTTGTTTGGCTTGCAAGTATCAAATATTAAAACATAACTGTGAACTAGCTCTTGATAAATTGTAATTTTTTTATTTAAGCAGTAATCCTCAATTTTATAATTACCCCCAATTTTTAAAAAATTTATATACAAACCTCCAAATGAGGGTGCTGAGATTCAGAAATTGCTCGTGCATTTCAGAGACTATTCAGAATCATTTACCAAACTGTCATTTAAATTCATTGAATCAGTATAAATGATCTTTTCATTATGTAGATGTGATTAAAGTCCCAATTTTTTGATGAAAATTTAATCTCATTGAAAAATATGAAAAGAAATAATGTAAAATAAATATTGGATACTCAAGTTCTTAATTTAAAACATCATCTTCAAAATTAACAAAATAGTATGTAAAATGAATCA